GGAGGGGGCAGTCAAGGGACAAGAAGCAGGGCAGCTTAGATAGGGGGTGGGATCCTAGGGGGCAGTTAGTGGCAGGGGTCCCATGAGGGGGCAGTCAGGGAACAAGGAGTGGGAGGGGTTGGGTGTTCTGAGGGGGGCAGTCAGGGTGGGAAGTGGGAGGGAGTGGATGGGGGCGGGGCAGGGCAAGGGTGGGGCTAGAGTGGGGCCCCTCCCCCCGTGTCCTCTTTTTTGCTTGTGGAAATATGGTAACCCTACATTGCGGTGCCACTCGGCCCTGCTACAGCACAGGGCAAAGGTGTTAAATATTGTGGGCTACTCTTTTAAACCCCTTTTACACATGTTTCCCTCCAGCCACTGCCCTGCCTACACTGTCCAGGTCTGCACCCCCGCTGGGAAGTGAATCTGCTCTCATGTCAACTTTACACGGACTCCAGCACAGCTGCTCCTCCTTCACCCCAGGAGAGAGCAGGCAGCCGGGTCCCAGGCCACAGGGCACTCTGCAAAAGCCCAGATGGTTTGGCTGATTGGGGGTGGAGGGTACCTCTGACCCTTGGCAGCTTTTGGAGGGTTTGGGGCTTGTCAGTACCTGATCCAAACAGTCCAGGTCTCTTGTCCTACACACCAGGATGGACATCTCCTGGGAGCAGCCTTCCTTGGGTCATTTGGGATCATCCAGCCCTGGTACAGCAAGGCAGCTGTGGGCCTGGAAGGAGGAGGAGATGTGGGACTTCTCCAAACCTTATGGTGCAGAGCTGGAGTGACGATTCAGAAGAGTGGTTCCTAATGTTGGTTGAACCAGCTCCCCTGTCCCTGCTGGTTAGGGTGTAAGATGTTAGCGAGCATCTGTGACCAGTGCTAACTAGGGTCCTGAGCCAAGACAACATTTCAGCACGTGCTTTGGTCCCAGTGACTGAATCAGGATGTTTTACTGTGGGCCAAGGAGAGGCAGCAAGGTAGAGTGTACTGAGCACCACTCTGGGAGTGAGGCACTCCCAAGTTCTAGGTCCCATTCTGCCACTGAGTGCCTGTATGACTTGGGCAAGTCCCTTGTCTCTCTAGGCCACTTTCTAAGGAGTGTAATGGGCAGTGCCAGTTGTATGTCAGTAATCAGGTGTCAGGGAAGTTTATGGTGAGGGGATGGAAGAGCAGGTTTATATTAGGGAAGACAACCAGCAGGAAGGTATAACAAGGTCTTAGCTAAAAGAAAGGGACTCGACTTTACTGGGCTCCTTTTCCTGCTACAGCCTTCCTCTTCTTCCCTATAGGCCTGCTCCATACATAGGTTTGGCACTAGTATAACTTTGTCAGGTAGGGGTGTGACTTTTTACCGAATTGCTCACACTGGTACAACCTTTGGTACGCACTCAGATATATTGGTATAAAGAGACTGTATGATGTTATAGCTTATTCCTCCTCCTGTAGTGCCCATACTAGGGGCTGTATCACTTTAACTAGGCCAGTGTGGGTAAAGCACTACAGCTTGTGTATACATGCAAGCCTTAGTGCGTGGGATGCACTCATTCAACCCGGGTGTGTAATTTATCCACCATCTGCCTCACCTCTGAATTGTCTCTGGCTAATGCAGTCTAATTACTCCCTCCCAGGAGGTGAGGAAGATGAATTATTGTTTGTCTCTGACCGCGTGAAATGTTGTGCTAGGGCTGATTACACACAGGCTAGCTGCTGTTATTATTAACTGCAGTAAAAAGTGTGTGTAAAAGGATGTAATGGAAAAAGGGAAACCACTGAGAGGGAAAGAGAAGAGCCTGATTATATATAGGCGGTTGGGATCTGGGGCTCACTCTTTCCCTAATTGCTTTGGGTTCCAGTAATGGAGGGACAGCTGAGATCTTCACAGTGTTTGCCAAGACCCCGGTAAAGGAGCCAACAGGGGAAGTGAAGGACAAAATCTCAGCCTTCATTGTGGAGAGAGCATTTGGGGGAGTGACCAGGTAAGAAAGTTTATAACTTAACAGGCACGGTTTGAGGAGATATTACAAGGACTGGGACTGTTCAGTTTAGAAAAGAGACTCAGGGGGATATGATAAAGGTCTATAAAATCATGACTGGTGTGGAGATAGTGAATAGGAAAGTGTTACCCCTTCACATCACACAAAAACCAGGAGTCACCTGTAGCCTGATTTGGGGCGTGTTGTTAATGTTGATTTCATTTATCCATTTAATTTCATGTAATTAATTTTAATAATGATTATTATGGATATTAATTAGTATGGGTTTAGACTCGCCAATTTGTTTGATCAGAAGATAAAATTCATCCTGAATCAGGCTTCACAGAGTTTATAAAAGGACCTTCGGGGGTATGACAGGAAGCTCACTCTGAGACAGATGTAGTCAGAAAGACCTTTTATTAAAATCAATGAAATAGTAAGCAAATGGTAAAACAGTTAGAATTGGAGTTGCAATTGTATTACTGTTATTCAAGTGATACATATGGTAATACAATATTATCTGCTGCAGACTTTGGTTAATACTCACACTTTATTTTAATAACCTGGTGTTATTAAACCTCTGGCGGTTCTGGCTTCACACCTCTAGAAGAAACTGATGGAGAGCTGTTAAAGCTGTTTACTCTCTAACTTAACTTAATAAACCTTAAACTGAAATAAAGCGTAGGGAAACCAAGCTTAGCCTAGTCTCCTTAAAACTTAAAGTTTGAAAAGAAACAAAGTACAGCCTGTTAATA